GCCCCCCCCCCCCCCCCCCCTTCAGTCCGCTATAAAATGTCAATTGGCAAAAATGTACGGTCCAAATCGAACGCCTAAAAATAATAATAATAAAAGTCGGCTATAAATCGAAAGATTAATTTATGTATTAATCCTTCTCGTTCTTTGGATCAAATACTTACAATAAAACTATACACATAAGAGACTTACATTATTGCTCTGTCATTGAAGCCTCCGATCTCAGTCATATGTAATTAAATTAATAACTTATTTTATTTTCCCTTTCTTTCTTTCAAAATACCACCCAATTATTACATAAATTTGGAAACACCCAAAATTGATGGTTAATCCATCGCCAAGAACAGAAGCTCTGAGGACCGCTAAAGCGACTTCGACCTGTTCAAACGGATCGACGGGGTCGTCGAGGAGCGACGCCTGTCGGTCCACCCATCGATCCACTCCAGTCTTTTCCTTTTCCTTATATGCATAGATAGAGAGAGGTAGACGGATACCTACCTGCACGAAACACAGTAGATACTAACGTATATACGTATGTAGAGGTAGATACATACAAGGATTCCTGCATCAAACAAAAGCACTAGTTCCCCGTGACCTTCTCTTCAGGTATATACACAACATATGAATACGTACATAACCGGCGACGAAGCTCTTGGATCCATCAGTTGCACAGAGACACGACGAGAGAGATGAGGACGTTCGAGGCAGAAATGGAGGAAGATGGAATAATCATGGCAGGGAAGATGGACGAGGAGCTCGATGACGACGGCCGCCCAAGGAGGACTGGTACGTCTCATTCCTTTGCCTGTCCGATTTCCTCACCTTCTTCTTCCTCCCCCGCCTGTTGTCATGCACGGTTGCAGAAAGGTAGGAGTCCTACAAATCAAGAGTGAAAAGAACAGGCTTTGTCAGACATTATCATGCATGAAAAATTGCAACATGTACTGGTTATGCATTAGCTCAAATTATATTCATATTTAGGATTTGGAGGAGAGTAATGGTAATATGATTTAATTCATGCTTCAGCTATTATACTAACCCTGAATGATGTTTGATTTCAGTTCTTACTGATCCGGTCCTCCGAAAACTTTCCCTGCTATTCTATTCTAACAGGCAATGATGTAATGTGCAGGAACTGTGTGGACAGCAAGCTCACATATCGTAACAGCAGTCATCGGTTCTGGTGTGCTATCCTTGGCGTGGGCGATGGCGCAACTTGGTTGGATAGCTGGACCTCTAGCTCTGGCGCTTTTCGCCCTCATCACCGTCTACACTTCCAGTCTTCTAGCAGATTGCTACAGGACTGACGATCCAATATCTGGGATGAGAAATGTCACCTACATGAGAGCAGTGAAATCCAACTTAGGCACTTGAATTTCTAACCCCATCTTTCATCATGGTACAAACTTTCCATGAACAAATTAAACATACAAAGTCTTCATGCAGGAGGAAATAAGATCTGGTTGTGCGGACTCTGCCAGTATGTCAACCTCTTCGGAGTTTCCATTGGTTATACGATTACCGCAGGCCTCAGTGCTGCGTAAGCTCATTGCATGCTCTACACAAAGTCAGATTTGGGCATCTCTAATAAGTTTCTTCTTTGGATGACCACAGGGCTGTGAGCAAATCTAATTGTTTCCACAAGAAAGGCCAAGAAGCAGCTTGCAGTATCTCCACCAATGTGTTCATGGTCGGGTATGGAATCATTCAGATCTTCCTGTCCCAACTGCCCAACTTTCATAAGCTATGGTGGTTGTCCATTGTTGCAGCAGTGATGTCCTTTGCTTATTCCTTCATTGCTGTGGGTCTCTCGGCAGCCAGAATCATCTCAGGTGTCTCCTTTGTATGATCAAATATCAAACAACAAAACACAACCTTGCAATACCTTAAGCATAAACGTTCGAAGAGAAAATCTGAATCAAACTTTGGTCTCGACAGGGAACACCAGAAAAACATCCATTACAGGTACGATAGTTGGAGTGGATGTCAGTGCATCTCAGAAGGTATGGAGCACTTTTCAGGCACTTGGAGATATAGCATTTTCCTACTCATATTCCATGATCTTAATTGAAATCCAGGTAGGCTGACTACTGATGTATACCAAAACCTTTGTCATGTCTTTCGGTTACCTGCTTATGAATCACATCCTTGCTCTGCACTCATCCAATATTCATGACTTTTAGGACACCCTAAGATCTCCTCCTGCAGAGAACAAAGAAATGAAGAAAGCAAGTTTAATCGGTGTGGTGACAACCACTACATTCTATATGCTTTGTGGTTGCCTAGGTTATTCTGCATTTGGGAACCAAGCTCCAGGAAACATACTAACTGGATTCGGATTTTATGAGCCATACTGGCTAATAGATGTCGGTAATGTCTGCATAGTGGCACATCTAGTTGGTGCTTACCAGGTAACCTCATATCTGATCAGCAACAATAACTAATTTTGAAGATCTCTCTACCTGCATCAGACATCTTCTGTGCTAACTAATAATAGACATTTTGGCTATTTCATTTTCTAGGTGTACTGCCAGCCATTGTTTGCTGCAGTAGAGACATGGTTTGCTAGAAAGTGTCCTGGCTTACAAATACTGACTCATGAGCATCCCATCACAATTAACAAAAACCTTGGCTGCAACATTAACATTTTCCGACTGCTTTGGAGGACAACCTTTGTGGTGATAAGCACTGTTCTCGCAATGCTGATGCCCTTCTTCAATGATGTGCTTTCATTACTTGGTGCTGTGGGATTCTGGCCTCTATCAGTGTATTTTCCCATTGAGATGTACATTTCACGAAATCATATTGCAAGGTCTTCACCCAAGTGGATGCTGTTGCAAAGCTTAAGCTTCCTCTGCTTCCTTGTCTCCTTGGCTGCAGCTTGTGGTTCCATTGAAGGGGTGGCACAGTCACTTCAACACTATTCACCATTCACGTCAAAAACATAAGAACAACTTCAGTAGCATCTCTGAAACCAATCAGAAGCTGTCTTTCTGATTTCTTAGTTGTAGTCATCACTGGTCTCTATGATTTTAATCTTATGGAGATATTAGAACTTTTTGTGGCTAAAAAATCCATACAAAGTAATACATCATTATTGAAAAATCATGAATATTGTACTTGCATGAGCAAGCACCAGTGAGTTACAAATTTATGATGCATGTTATCAAGTCGATACCAAAGAATGGATGCCCATCTAGTGATTTCGTGTCACTATTGTATCATGACAATGGAGTACGATCATATAAATCTGTTCTATACCTTTCCTTGACTATACATGATCCACTAAAATTGCACTACTTGTACTTTCATTGTTTTAATTGAGTATTTTCCTCTAAATACTAAATTGAGCATACTAAATTTTCCTCTTTCTGATTTTCTGATTGTATTTTTTTATTTTTCTCTTTTCACCAACTTTGTTATCAATCCATTAAACCTTAGCACCCCTTTAGGTTGTCCTATGTTATTACTATTTCAAACAAAAGCAATTTTTTTTGGTTCTTGTCTCCTTGATGCAATTTTAGTTGTCAAATTCAATGTGATCATTGTTCATCTAACGAAATCAGATTATACACTACATGGCTGGTTCCCCCAAGAATATGATTTCTAGTTGGCGAGCTTGTCCGAAATGGTAAAGAAACTGTTTAACAGCAAAGCGGAAAAGATTGTTCAATTTCAGATCAGGATATCCTATCTTATCAAAGCCATAAAGAAAGGTCTTAAGCTTTTGAAAAAAAATCAATTATGTTTAATCCAAAAAAAAACTGGTCAAAAACTAAAAATTTGTGAGAAAATGTGTCGACCTTTGCAAACAAATTTTTTGCACAAGTAAAATATGTGGATAGGCAGATTATAGAGACCAACAAGAAGGTCAAGCTTTAGTTTTCAATCAAAATTCATTAAGCATTATATTTAGTAGAAAACCAACAGCCAAATGAATCACAGAAGGAAAATATAACACTCCCTATACTATCATGGACCTGTAAAAGAATAATAACGACTGCATAGTTCGGCATTTTCCAACCATAATACAGAGAAATTATTAGTTGTGATTGCTTAGCCTCAGCTAAAACTCATGTCAAAGTATGCAGGAGGCCTTGTTGGTAGAAAACAAGGTTATTGTCAATTAAGACGAAGTTAAAATGTCAATGGAACATGGAAACAAAATAGGGTGAGAAGCCATAAGAAAATACACTAGAGAAAGATGTACAAGCCCATTACTGTATCAAGTTCAAGTTTGAGTGGAATAGGATTGACTTGTTTCTAGTGCTTGCAGGTAACTATGCAGAGTTTAATATCCTCCGACTGAATAGAAGCTAACTGCCCAAAGGCAAGGAGAGGGCTCAGCAAGTGAGGCAGTGTGAAGTTAGATGAAACTGTAACAATATCAAACATGGAACACTTACTGCAGAAAAGGATAACACAAATAGTTCACAAAATACAGCAATAACTTCTCATAATCCTCAAACATCTTGACCCTCAGGTTCGCAGAAAACACCAGAACATCAGGCATAATCCCACCAAATTAAAGGGAAAAAATGAAAGGAAAAGGAGTACTAAATTAAATAAACAAATTGGAAATTTCACTAGCTTCACTTTGGTTTTCAGTTTCATTTATACATTTTCCCCCCACCTAACTGACATATCTGCAGACTCAAGGCCTGTACTGGAGGCAGAGACACAGGAATGGAGTGAAAAGTGGTGTAGCAATGGGAGAAGCTGATAGGAATAAACTCTGACAACAAGATGCCAAAAGTGGTGCCGAAATGAGAGAAATGCACCAGTCTTCGCCTAGTAATTCCATAATCATGAATAATTGTTAAAGAAAGAACTTTGGTTTTGGTACTCTCACTTAAATTACAGAAGTCCACTGATACATTAGTCAGTCCCGCATCTCTGTCACATGTAACTCTGCAAAAACTCAATCAATACCAGGAAGAAAAAAAGAGAGCACACCAAAAACCTATCAATCATCCATCAAAGAAAGGAAAAACTTAGCAATATAATCATAGAATTCCTATAAAAAAAAACAACTATGAAATCGATTGTGGCATTCCAAGTCGATCAACAATGACACGATAACATCGATCTACCCACATTTACTAAACAATAAACATGGGGCAAAACAACACAAGATGATAGCATTTCCCCCCAGAAAATTTAACGAAGTAGACTAAGAAGCTCATACTTGTACCTGAAGATCGAGCGGAATGTGCCCTGCCTGACTTCGGCGTATCTGCCTGATTACGTTGACGAGGGCGATAAGGGAGGTCCCGCGCGTGATGTTGTGGATCAACGGCGATAGAGTTGAGGGGGTGTAGAAGGCGGCGGTCGGAGGAGGCGGAAACCATGGACCGCGGGCACGAGGACAAGCGGAGAAAAGGTGAGAGGAGACGGCTTCCGTGGGAGGGAAAGCACTCGGCCGATACGGACGCTGTTAAAGAGGCATGGCGAGATTACGTTCTACTCCGCAGATCTTCATTAAATTTTCTAAATTGCCATTAGACCAATTAGTTCTCCAAATGACAATACAAAATGGGCATAGTTGCCTAATTAGTGGCGTAAATCGTGCTGCAATTTTCCATCAAAAGTGTTAATTTCATTTGATTTAATTTGCTCTTAAGGCCCAATTTCAAAGCGATAGGCCCATCTAACTGTATGAACGGGCCTGACTTGGACTCATTCGTTGGGCCCCAATCATGAATTGGGTCGATGAGCAAATTGCCCATTACACCATACATAATAGCTTGTCCAAGATAGAACGATGCTTGATTCCCTGTGGATTTCTTCCATGGTAGGAATTAGGCAAGAGTAGAGTAGAATCCACTCGACCTTTCACTAGACTAGGTTAGGATTTGATCCTCTCCTCATGATGAATAATAATCTACTGCTTATCTTCTTCGGTGGAATTGGGATTGTTAGATGACATTTTTACGGAGCCCAAAATGTCAGTCATGAAATCATGACCATCCTTAATGCTCGCATGCTTGCACTCCACCATGGTTAGGTAATCGGCCACCTTTATGAGACGGTAATGGATCAAAATACATTTACTCTTTATTGAGAAGAAACACTGTGTAATTTGAAGACACAGCTCGACTTGAAACAATCCAATCTTATACGGAGATACGTTCAAAGAAGGTAACGAGAAAAGGGCATCGGATGCCACAGAGAAATGGTGTTAATGGCGATCACATCATGGGGAAGTGCTTATCCCTGTTGGAGTCATCGCTGGGTCAACAAGTCGTCTCTCCATTGCTTGCTGCTTTGAAGCTAAAATAGCGACATGATAACCAATGGAAGCGAATATTTAATGCGTTTAAGTCATCGAGTTGATTTGGAGTGCTAGAAGACTTTGACCGGCGACTCCGGCAGTCAAACATGGCGGGCTGATTCTGAAACTAGTGGACCCTACGAAGGTTCATATTTACAAATATATCCTTTCAGTGTGATATAGGATAAGATTTTGACAGATTTAAATCATCTATATGGTGTATTCGATCATAATAATAATAATTATTATATATATTAATTTGTAATGAGACGTTTTCAGCTTAGAGTTGTCAAACAAATTTTTTTTTAATTTTGATGTGTAATAAATACTCTATTTCATTCGTCGACTATTCTTTCGGATGATACTAAAATTTTAATCTCGTATTGAGTGACACAAGATTATATCTTCGAATGGTAATAATCGATTTCGATCGTTATCGCATCAAGTTTCAAACAATCAAGTTTTATATGATATTTATTTTTAATTTAAAAAATTATCTTAATTTTTTATTTTTAAATATTTTAAAAAAATTAACTCGTTTTAAATTAAACATCGGTAAAATTACGAACGTCGATGTCAGTTAAATTGATTAGTAGTGCAACAGTAAGTAGCAAACAGGAATTTCCACTATAGGTCTCTATCCTCCCTACAACAGTCGTTCTTTGTTTGACCCTTCCACGAACGCAGCACCCGAAAGCCGCCGGTGGATAAAACTCCAGTGTCATCGACCACCGAACTCTTAAGGTCACGTCCGTCAACGAAGGGTCCATTTTAACTTTCCCGTGTGCCATAATATAAAACATGGTGCACGCCTCAGGTGTGGTTCCAGTTGCACTGACGTTATATTCAATCGTAACTCGTATTGCTGTTGTAATACTGAACTCTCTTGAAGACGACGACATGTCATCTTCTAAAAGACCACCGTTTGTGTGTGTCTTCCTTCACCATGGACCTTTTTTTCTCTGTTTCTGATCATTAGCGCCCACTTTCATTCAGGATATAAGCAGAGGAGTGCAGTCGTTGGCACCTCGAGCAACTAAGAAGCTTCCGATGGGTAAAGAATCCATTGCAGCAGCCTCCTCCTTCTTCTTCTTCTCTTCCTCTTTGCTCCTCGTGCACGCCTCACTTCTCTTATGGCTTCCCCTTCTCTTCATCTCCGGAGCCACCGTGGCCCATGGAAACGACCAGGAGGAGCTCCTCCTCTTGAACCTAAAACGCCAGTGGAGCAGCGTTCCTGCGCTCGGTTCTTGGAACGATTCCTCCCCGCACTGCGACTGGCCGGGAATAGAGTGCAGCGATGGCTCCGTCACGCAGATATCCCTCTCCAATATAAACATCACCAAGCCTATTCCGCCCTTCCTCTGCAACCTCACGAGCCTCGCCTACCTCGACCTCTCCAACAACTACATCCCCGGCGGCTTCCCCACCTCTCTCTACCGCTGCTCAATCCTCGAGCACCTTAATCTCTCCCAGAATCTCTTTGTCGGCGAGTTGCCTTCTGATATCGATAACATGTCATCCCAGCTCGCTTACCTTGATCTATCTGGTAACAATTTCTCCGGCGACGTCCCGCCCGCCATCGGCCGGCTCTCGTCCCTTGGGGATCTTCGTCTTCAGTTCAATCTCTTCGATGGCTCCTTCCCGGCCGAGCTCGGTAACCTTTCGATGCTTGAACGACTACAGCTTGCGCACAATCCCTTCGCGAGCCAGCGTCTTCCGGCCGAGTTCGGGAACATGACGAGACTGAAGATCCTGTGGATGACCCAAGTGAACCTCGTCGGCGACATACCGGAGGCTCTCGGGAAGCTGACCGAGCTCGAGCATCTCGACCTCGCCTGGAATCATCTGAATGGCTCCATCCCTGCAGCCATATGGTCGCTGGAGAAGCTGGAGACACTATACTTGTTCAGCAACAACCTGACGGGAGAAATTTCCGGCAAGATCGCGGCGTTAAACTTGGAGGAGATCGATGTGGCAATAAACCAGCTGAAGGGATCGATACCGGAGGAATTCGGCAATCTCAGTCATCTCAGACTCCTGTTCATGTATTACAATCGCCTGTCCGGCGAGATCCCGAGAGGCATCGGCCTCCTGCGCAACCTGTCCGACATTAGGCTCTTCAACAACCACCTCGTCGGAATCTTGCCACCGGAGCTGGGGAAGCACTCCAATCTGAAGAACCTCGAGGTATCCAACAACAGAATCTCCGGCAGCTTGCCCCAAGGCCTTTGCACAAACGGAGCTCTTCGGTCGCTGGTGGTCTTCAACAACAACCTCACCGGCGAGCTGCCGGCTTCTCTCTCCGACTGCCACCGATTGGCTAACATACAGCTGTACAACAACAACTTCTCTGGCGAGTTTCCCCTCCGACTATGGTCGGCAGCAGAGAATTTGACGGTCGTGTTGATCCACCACAACCGCTTCACCGGCGTCCTTCCTGACAAGTTGCAGTGGAACCTGACGCGGCTGGAGATCAACGACAACAGGTTATCGGGAAAGATCCCGTCGTTCGCACCGAAGCTTGCAGTCCTTGAGGCGAGCAACAACACGTTCTCCGGTGAAATCCCGGCAGAACTCAGCGGGCTGTCGAGTCTCCAGGTTCTGTTGCTCGGCGGAAATCGGATCTCCGGCGTGATACCGGCAGGCATATCCAATTTGAAGTTCCTCACCCAGCTCGATCTCAGCGACAATTACCTCTCCGGAGGCATCCCTGCGGCATTGGGGTCGCTCGAGGTGCTCACCATGCTCGACCTCTCGCACAACCGGCTATCGGGATCAATACCGCCGGAGATCGGCAACCTGAAGCTCAACCTTCTTAACCTGTCTTACAACCAACTCTCCGGCGAGATTCCTCTGCAGCTACAGAACCAAGCTTACGAGCAGAGCTTCCTCTCCAACGCTGGACTTTGCACCTCCAAGGCTATAGTGAACCTCAATATCTGCGGGCACCGATCGAGCGGTGCAGACAAGTTCTCGGAGAGGCTGATCATAATATTTTTGGTGCTCGGTGGGGTTACGTTCTTGATGATAGTTGTGGTTGGAACGCTGATGTGCCGGCGAAGACCCGACAGCGGTGACCTTCCACCATACAAGCTGACTTCCTTTCATCAGCTCGACTTCACAGAACGGAACATAATACGTGGGCTGACGGAGGGCAACCTCATCGGCAGTGGAGGATCAGGTCAGGTTTTCAGGATCAACCTGGGGCTTCGCACCGGCGAGGCTGTGGCCGTGAAGAAGATCTGGAACAACAGAAAGCTGGACTGGAAGATGGAGAAGGCGTTCGAGGCGGAGGTCAAGATTTTGAGCTCCATTCGGCACGCCAACATAGTAAAGCTGCTCTGCTGCATCTCAAACGCGGAATCCAAGCTGCTGGTCTACGAGTACATGGAGAACGGGAGTCTGGATCAGTGGCTTCATGGCGAGCGAAGGACAAGGACAGGCTCGTCGGGGCACGGCGAGCCACTGGACTGGCCGAAGAGGCTCGGTATCGCCATCGACGCTGCAAGGGGGTTATGCTACATGCACCACCACTGTACTCCGCCGGTCATCCACCGCGACGTGAAGTCCAGCAACATACTCCTCGACTCCGACTTCGGAGCTAAGATGGCCGACTTCGGCTTGGCACGAATGCTGGTCAAGGTCGGTGAGCTCGAGTCGGCATCGGCGATAGCAGGCACCTTCGGGTACATGGCTCCAGGTGAGTCCTAGAGATGGGGGCATCGGACCATTTTGTTAATGCAAGTGGAATGGTACAGCTATTAACGGAGGTCGTTGTGGTTGCAGAGTGTGGATACTCGAAGATCAATGAGAAGGTGGACGTGTATAGCTTCGGGGTGGTGCTCTTGGAGTTGACGACAGGAAGGAAAGCCCGAGACGGTGGTGAGAACGAAGGCTTAGCCGGGTGGGCTGCGCGCCGGTTCAAAGAGGATGGTAGGCTGACGGAGATGGTAGACGAGGAACTGAGTGAAGATGTCAACTACATGGATGACATAGAAGCGGTGCTAAGGTTGGGAATCGAGTGCACGAGGAGGACTCCGGTGTTCAGGCCTTCGATGAAGGAGGTGGTGCGACACCTGATGGACTGCGACCGAAGGAACGGGTGTCGACTGAACATCGAGGTGGCTCCGCTTCTGCAGATGAAGAGTTGGAGCCGGAATAAGAGCTTATCAGATGCTAGTGAAGAGCATAGCATGGCCATGGGTGCCATTTAAATGCTGGTGATGTCAGATTTGATCATATCACCAGGTAGCAATAGCCGAAGCTTCAACACTAGGAGTTGAAGCTTCGGCTAACAAGTGGCACATTCAATAGTTGTTACTATGATGCTGTACATGCATCAGTTAATATGTGATTTCACCTGATCAGCAATCCAAATGACCCTGGGAAAATAATTTGCTAAAACCCTGATGATCATAATGATTCTTTAACAATATGATTATTAGTACAAGAGAATCAGAAAAATAATAAAATTGACATTGTTTTTTGCTGTACAAATCGAGAAAAATTTGTCAATCCCTGAAGAAGATAAATGGCACGAGAACTATAAACTAGAGAAACAAGCATAATTTACTACGAGAAGGATCATAGATTTTAGTACACACATTAGTGTGAAAGGTTCTTCAAGTTCCCAAGGAATAATATCTTGGAAAGACATGCTTGTTCCGCTAATTTCAACTGAACTCCTCTCTCAGCTTCTCCCAATGCATCCCTGAAATTTTGTCAAAGATCCGAAAGACTTGTAATGATACCATGGGACTCGAAGATAAGCACGTAATAAAGGGATACAATATAAACAGGTTGCTCGATCTCATGATAAATATGTATGTGACCTTCACCAGGGTTTTACACTCCCACAATCCAATGTTCGATTATATTCTGTTATTAGAATTAGAGTATATACAAGTTGTTCTTAGATCAAACAACACAAACAGCACAAACAGTATTCCGGTAAAGCTCAAGAGTAAACATGACACATGATCTTCAGTTCTTCTAACATCTAAAGAAAAGAGTAATCATCAACAAAATCATGATTATCATCTCTCCACAATTGCTGCAGTTGTTCCAGTAGGAGAAGTGGCTATAAGCACTAGTAACCAAGAACAAGTAAAAATTACTCCAAACTTCACTTTGACTACTAAAACTGTCTTCCTGATATTCTATTCTCTTTATCTTCTCCTTCAAACACTAACTTAAGAAGGGGATCTCATTGTACATACTTTTGACCTTTCCTTTGTGATTGTATACTTCACCTTGTCTACTATGACATGACTGTAACCTTGACAAATATCAACTCCGGTATAAATACCTGTGCAGAAAATTAGCTCATCATGATGATATAACATTGTGTAATTTGATGGGCAAGTCTAAAATACTAATGTTGTTCTAGCATCTTTGTCACAGCTATTTTGTCACTACTTGCCATAATAACATTATGCAATGTCATTCGCACCAAAAAAAAAAAAAGCCAGGAACTAGGTAATAAGGTCAAGAATGCTGATAATAGTATCAAATGGAGAAAGCAATGATCATATGTTGAGCATTTCTAAGAAGTCGATGCCAAAAAGAGGCATTGACATAAGGACATCTGACTGCATTTGTTCATAGCACACAGTAAATAACTTAGTCAAGCATTGGAAATGAACGAGCTAGAGAATGTAATAGAAATGAGTTCGACATATTTCCTAAAAGAACGATTGACGTAGATTTAAGAGATAAAGTTAACTTGTAGGTATTAATGATCACTGGCGTATTCGTACGCAGGTGTTTAAAGGCCCGACCCCCAGTGTTGTTCCTGGGTGTGGCTTCTGTACCCATTGCCGTGTGTTGGGGATATGGATGGCAGGCGGCTGTCTCGCTCAGAATCGGGGTGTCGAGGTGGCTTGGCGCGCCACGTTGGCAACGGAATGCCATGCCAGGTCTGCCGTAGCAGCCGACGTGTCCGTGGGGTGGATGCCAGAATATGCTAGATTGAACTCAATAATAGAAGAAAAGGCAGGGCAAAATCTTAACCCCCACTCATCGCACCATCCTTTTGTCGCTAGGGGAGCAGCGATTTGATCACATTGGCAAAGAAATGTGCTACATTTAGGGTTGTTGCGCGTGCGGAAGCAATCGATTTACGATCGAACATGGAATCCATACACATCAAAATTTCCCAGGAATTGTTTGGAAATGCATCGAAGGATTTGGTGGATCCATATACCCACAAATCCCAACGTTCTCGAGCCCGAATTTTTCCCGATAAATCCACATCATAACTCAAGAACAGACATAAATCAAGCAGAAAAGATCGAACGGGTGACTCCAAGATGCGGCGATCGACCGCAAGAAGTCGAGATTCGATTATATCGAGGGATGAGAGGCGATAAATGGGGGAAGGAGGGGTCGAGGGCACCTGAGTGAAGGAGGCGCTCATCGACGTCCGATTGCCACGCCATTGGCCTCCCTTTCTCCCCTGCAATCCCTTGGAACGACGATGAAGGGAATAAACTTATAAACATATACATGAGGACACGCGTAGCGAATCGGATTTAAGGTTCGATCCAATAAGAAGAGATGGCTCGAAATCAAGACCCGATTAGATTACGTCATACATACGTGTATCATAAATATCTCAGAGACCGCACATTGAGCTCCTTCCATCAAACGAATAGGTGTAAAGCAAACACGGCAGGCAAGAAGGCAACCCGTTCGATCTTATTCCCATGCAACTTAATCCATGACTTTGCAGCAACGATAATAGGAGTCCTACTTAGAACAGCAGGCTAGCGAACTCAAGCATAGCAGCAGGAACAGGCGTACGTGATTGGAGATGTCATCTCAGCTGATGTAATATAACGGATCCGGTAGCTTGAAGGTTCGAGCACCCTCCGGTTTTCCCAGGATGTCACTCCACTGATCACCTATGTTCCCTACGATTCTGTACCCTTGCTCCTCCAGCTTCTCCCTTTCAGCTGTCTTGAACGCCATGGCCGTGCCGTTCACACCTTCTCCCCTGTCATCACATCAGAAGCACATCACTCATCGGTCGTCCCGATACATGTATGACAATCCAGAGCGCTAAAACACTGAACAGAAGGAATCATACTTGAGCAGCAGTTTCTCCCATGTCCGATAACCAGCCCTTTTGAGGTTGGTGATGGTGACATTTCTCCTCTCCTCTGATCTCCCTGTCAAGAAGACGATCTTGATGCCGAGAGGGAGTAGTTTGTGGTACAGCTTCAAGCTCTCCGGCAGTGCAGGTGCTATCCCCTTGTCCACCCACGCATTGAAGGAAGTGGCATTGTATGGTTCCACCCTGCACAAACGCCATGCCTGGAGATAAGAACTTACTATTGTTCCTTTTCAGAACAAAAAATAATCTGTCTGCAAAGGAACATCAGAATTATACTTATATACACCTGTCAGAAGAGAATCTTAAAGAAAAGATCAGATCAATCATGATGTTTCCTTAGCTTTGCTTTCTATACGTAGCTTAGGTCACGGAAGTTTAGAGTTTGGAGTTTGCTTGCATGAAAAGCGAGGATTAGATGTTACAGTGATTTCTTACAATAAAAGTATAGCATAAAATGGTTTTAAGAGGTCTCTTTCATCGTTGTCTGATGGGACATCGGCGTCCGATGTATAACTTTTGCACACATGTGATGGTGCCGTTTGTGTCAGTAGGTATGTGAGACTTCCAACCTTTATCGGCACGCCATTGGTGCACATCGAATGGTTTCCCGTTCATTTATCACACTATATGCTACATATCTTGATGATTCTCCATGGCATTCTTTAGAGCATTCAAGACTCGTCTTCTCTGTGTGTGTTTTCACTTTGTTCTGTTTTCTCTGTGGGATGGAAGAAAACAGTGTCAAGCAAATGTAGAGAGTACGTTGTACTGTTACCCGAAGCCATGATGAGCGTAGTAAGGGAGGTTGGAGAGTACGGTCTCGTCGATATCAAAGATCCACGCGTCCATGCCGTCGCCGGGGATCTGGAGGCCCTCGACGTAGGCCGCGGCCGCGGCGGTCACCACGGCGGAGTCCTGGCGGTAGCGGTCGCCGAGCATGTAGTGGCCGACGTACCCCTCGCAGCTGCGGGGGACGGTCCTCCATCCCCGGACGTTGTTGGTCTCCACCCCGAACCTCCAGCTCGCGCAGGTGACCCCATCGGCCGGCAGCCCGCCGGAGCCGAACAAGGGCTTTAGGAGGTGAATGGCGGGCGGCTCCCTGGGCGTTCCCTCCGGCGGCCGGGCGCCGGGCGAGGCCATCAATATGGCTGCAAGAGACCAGAGGGCGGCTTTTACGTCCATTTCTCTCTCTCTCTCTCTCTCTCTCTCTCTCTCTCTCTCTCTTTCTAACTACAGAAGAGAGTTGGATACATAGCGGTGGCCATGCTATGCATCTTATAGACCACAAATTTGCATGCTTTAGAGAGAGAGAGAGAGAGAGAGAGAGAGAGACGGAGAGGTGAATTATTGGAGGTACGGTAGAACTTGCATAGTGTGCTATTATTATTATTATTATTATTATTATTATTATTATTGACGATAAAAAATGGGAATAATTAAAAATTTTGCAGTGATGGAGATAAATTTGAAGGATTTATCGAAAAAAATGGCGTAAAGATCGGCAAATTGATTTAGTTAAAATGGATTGTGAGTGATCGAAGGAGAAATTTTGAGTTCTATTTTGATTTAAAAGTGACATGACAGTCGAGCAAGTCAAGCTACAATACATTTATACTATCTTGACATTCCATATGGCTCTCAAAGTACGGGCAGCTAAATGAAGTTGATTTTTCCGGGAACTAATATTAAATCGAAGATTATTTATACCTCATGTCGCTATTGATGTTACTCATCGCCGTCGACACTGCTCATCATTGATACCATCTATGCCTATTGTTTTCTTGACGTTGACCTTCAAGAATCCAAGAAGGAAGAAGAAGATGAGGAAGAGATTGAAGATGAGAAAGAAGAGGATAAGGAGAAGAAAATGAGGAAGAGATTGAAGATGAGAAAGAAGAGGATAAGGAGAAGAAAATGAGGAGGAGACAGGATGAGGAAAAGATGAGAAAAAATATTTCCATATATTTGTAAAAGAATAATTTAGAAATATTAAAAAAATTAAAATTAGATTACAAATAGTAAAATTAGTGTTGTAAATAATAATCTTCTTTCCTTAATGCATCATTTTTTTCTTAATACTTTGTGGACCAGCTTATAAGAAAAGAAAAGAAAAAAAAAGAAATAGATGATTGGGAATAATTTAGGTATTAGATAAAAAAAAAAATGTTGTTAATGAATTTTGAAAACAAAGACACTTTGGGAAACAACTTTTTCCTAGAAAAAAGATTTTTTTTTTCAAGAAATTGTCTGAAAAACTAATTATATTATGTGGTGCAAGAAGAAACTGTTAGAGATATCTTGGATTACCCAAAAGGTGAAAGCCAACTCAACTCAACTCTAGGAAATGAATTGCACTGGTCATTGGATTCTTGCAAAACTTAAGTTAGGGGACAATCTCGACAACATCCCTCTAAGCACTCGAGTTGATATTATATTGTCTTGAGTCTGCCTATGTTACTCCCCTTTTATAGTCAATATTTGGTAGAGACATTATGTAAAGTCTATTGGTCAACTACCTTTAATGACTATAGGTAGTTGTGCTTGTTTTTTAGGTCATTAGTACTGTTTGATGATGGGTGTGAGGTCATTTGCTGCTGGCTTTACTTGTTAGATAAGTATCAATTGAGGACTCTCATTCATAGTTAAGCGATTGAATCCTAATAGGGTATCTCCAATGCATATGTGTCAACGGTATGGGATATTGTCATGTTAGATAGGTCACCTTTACTGTAGCAAGTTGGGTTTGAAAATACTGCTTTTTTATGACCCTTTGTTGGCATAAGCAGGGAACATTAGAATACCTAACCGAATTCATATAAAGTCAACATGAGTCAATCTTCCTGACTTAGTTGTTTCGACTTGGTCCTTCTAACATATTCCTTATCAGGTAAAACGTATGATCTATCCTCACAACATGGTGAGACACAATGGAAGGGCCTTCAAAAGGGATGACACAACTATGATGATTGTTGGAGCTCTACACAAGAATCAAAACTAAATCTGGCTTCGATAAGTGATAGTGTGGTGGTTCAAGAAAAATTAGAGCGATGACATTAGAAACTATGCTAAGTGGCACACTATGTGTCATATGACTAGGTACGAAGGTGTACAAAGGGCTATAGAGCCATGTGTGATGGTGTGATAGGGTCATGTGGCCAGGTGTGGTAGTGCACAAACGACCATGAGGTTGGGTGCAGTGGCGTGACAGGGTCAAGTGACCTAGTGCAATGGTGCACAAAGGGTCATAGAGTCGAGTGCAATAGTGTGATAGGGTCATATGACTGGGCATAACGATATATGAAAGTCCATTGAGTTAGTTACGATAGTGCATAGGGTCATGTGACCAGGTACAGTAATACATAAAGGGTCGTAGTCAAGTGTGTTAGGATCGAGAGCACTAAGAGGGGGGGGGGGTGAATTAGTGCAGCGAAAATCTTTCAGCGATTAAAAACGAAAGCTGCGTTCGTTCGATAAAAACTATTTTGATGCAAAAGCTGATTATAAGATTACTTATGATTAAGTACAGTTTACATCTAAATACAGTTTGCGTCTAAACGCAGTTTGCGTCTAAACACAGTTTACGTCTAAGCGCAGTTTACGTCTAAGCTCAGATTGCGTAAATCAGTTGTTTAGATCAAAAGCAGTTTAAGCAGAAGTATAAAGACAGTGTGCTGCTATTGTACAACTCAAAAAGTAATCTGCAAAAAGCAGATTTACGTCTAAACGCAGATTTACGTCTAAACCTTAAAACTCGTTCGTAAAATTGCAGAAGACAGTTTGCAGTTATAAATAGAATCAAAACATAAATGTAAACTGCAAAGAAACTCGTTCGTAAAAGCGCAGAAGACAGTTTGCAGTTACAAAACGTAATCGCAAACTGTGATGTATG